GTCTGCAGGGCCACTGAGGGGTGGCCGACCTGGGGGGAGGGGGTGAAGAAAGCATTGGCACAGAGGAGCAGCTGGGGCTCCGCCTCTCCAATCAGGGCTTGGCCAGGTTCTGGACAAAACTCAGGCCTTGGAGGCTGGATCCTCACTGTGGTGGGACCTTTTAGGGTGGAGGGGCAGGGGGGGCCTTCAGGTCGCAGAGGGCACTGCCCTCCAAGCGGTCAAGGTCGTTTTCAGGGAACCCTGCGTGGCTTGTCAAGAGAAGATTGCTACAGGGGAACAAGCAAGCCTGGCCACTGCCACTGTCCAGCCTCCGTGGATTCCTGTCTGGGGACGTCCTCCTGCCCCTGGGCTGCCCTCCACCACGAGGCCCTCGCCACAGCCACACTGAGCCTGCACACGTGTGGGCACAAGGCATCTCTTTTTCTGCCAGCAGCCCCGCCCTGGTATTCTGTTACACAGTGGAGGCAGGACTGAGGCAGGCCCGTTAGACTTTAACAAGAGCCTTTCTTTCCACTTGCACAGAGGTGCGTGAACCCGACGTGTGTCCTGCTGTCACAACGCACGTGGGGCCCACGTACGGCTTCCACCGCTGCAGGTGCACAAGGAGAAACCCTTATGCGAGCCTCTCGTGAAGGGGGAGGCCAGGTTGTCAAGAAAATGCTGAGAACAATTCAGCACCACTTTACCCCGGAGGAGCCAGAAGCATCAGATTGTAAATAAAGGACAGGGTCACACAGGCGCTACGCGGGGGCAACATGGAACACACTGGTAATTACCGACGGGAACGCGGACAACGGCCGCCATCCGTCGAGGCCCAGTGACATGGCATGGAGGGCGTTAATATTTTGTGAGCACACTGTCAAAGGCCCCAGGACTCTGTCCGATTTGCAGAAGAGACAACTAAGTCCAAGGAGATCAGGTGACTTGTTTCCAACCCCGCGGCTCACAGCCTGCAAGTGTGGGGAGGCGGCCTCGGCGAGCCTGACTGCAGAACTGTTCCACAGCTTCCTGCTCAGACGTGGGCCTAACAGGTTCTTGTTTTCTTCACCTGGGTTATTTACAATACCAAGGGCGGGGGTTGTTGTCTTGGCACAGCGGGCGAAGCTGCTGCATCCCTTAAGAGCGCAGGTTCGAGTCCCAGCTGTTTTGCTTCCAATCAGCTCCCTGCTAATGCATATGGGACAGCAGTGGAAGATGGCCCAAGTATTTGGACCCCTGCCACCCACATGGGAGATCTGGATGCAGACGCAGGCTCCTGGCTTCAGCTTGGCCCAGCCCTGAGCAATGCAGTCATTTGGGGAGTGAACCGGTGGGAGGAAGATCTCTTTCTGTGCCCCCCGCCTTTCTGTAACTTTGCCTTTCAAATAAAATAAAAGTTAATCTGTAAAAAATATTTTAAAAAAGACAGAAGCCAAGAACATTTTGCTTTCTGAAAACGGGGAGGAAGCTTGGGGAGGACCCAGATACAGAGCCGAAAGCAAACAAGAAACAGAGAGCAGTGACCGTGAAGTCCAAAGAATTAATGGCACAGCGAGTCACCCTACACCCACCTGACTCCAGGCAGCAAAGATTGGGAACTGGCTGCCGCTGGAGCCAGGCCTTCCGTGTCACTACATTTGTGGTGGAAAAGGAAAGTGGGGTTTGCACGTGGACAGAGGGGCTGGGTGTGAGCACTGCACCACGCAGGCCGGGGCAGCCCATCCAGCTCCGCGGGTACAAACCCCTGTGTGTTGATTCAACAGCAGTCAGTGACCTCAACTCGAATGTAATTTTTGTCTCTAATTTTGGATTTTTTTTCACTAGTGGGGAGAGCTTTTGTGTTTCCTTTATCGACAAGTCAAACATCACGGCCATCCAGAAGTCTTTTCTATATTAGCAGCATTATTGCTCTTGGGCAGAAAATAAACACAGTCTCAAGGAGTCAAGAGCACAAACCAGCGGTGTACTGATGGGCCGAGAGCCGATGAACGTGGCCCACGGTGACGCGGTCCCAACTGGTGTTCATGCAACAGAGACAGTGTTATACCTAGAGTCTGTATCAATCAAACATGTGAGAAAACAGCGAGAACTATTTATATTTCCCTTCTGCTTATCCCAGTCCTCAGCGGAAGGTTTCTTAGTAAACATATTTATGATAGCTCTGCAACCAGCAATTGAAAACTTACACAAGTTGTCAGAGTCTGTTTCTTAAAACCAATGCATTTCCTTGTTTGCTTATAAAAGTAATTGTTTCCTACCCTTTCGTTTTTGATATTGAAAGTACCAGAACAGAATAAAAACAGATAGAGAAAACACACACACACACACACACACACAGGAGACTAAAAGATGAAACTAGGGACCGGCGTCTGGCTCAGCAGTGGAGACGCTGTTTGGGATGCCTGCATTCCACATCGGGTGCCTGGGTTCGAGTCCCAGCCCTGCTCTCCACTCCTGCTCCCTGCTAATGAGGGCTGCAGGGATGGCTCGAGTTCTTGGGGCCCCAGGACTCGCGTGGGAGACTTGCGTTGGGTTCCTGATGGCCAGCTTCACTTGTGACCCGGCCTTGGCTGCTGCAGGCACTGTGCATGGCAGATCTCTCTCTGCCTGTCTCTCTGACTTTCAAAAATAAAATAAATGAAGTTTTTAAAAAGATGAAACCAGACTGCTTCAGGAAGAATGCTCTTGCGGGTATGGAAAAGCAAAGGAGACCGGAAAACACGGCTTCCGGCCACCCACACCCCCGCGGGCAGCCTGAATTCCAGGCGTTAGGCGTGTGGGAACCGCCCACCTCTCCCACCAGGGTCGGCTGCGTCCTGATAAAGCCATGGTGGGTTTGGCACAGCTTCCTCCCCCTCTGCCGTTACTTGGCACTGCTGCGGCTCCTGCGAGTAACGGTGAGCGCAGTCTGGGTTCTTTGCTGGCTCCTTTCTATTCTGCCTTCCTGTTTTTGTCATCAATCGTCCTCAAGGCACAGTCCACCGGCACCACTTTCTCTGCACCCTGGCCTCGGGGTGAGCTGGCCTGATCCATCAGAATCAGCCCAGGTTTCTACAGCCCCCACCGATGGCGGTAAAGACCACTCCGCGATAAAACCCACAAGGCCCATCCCAGGGAGAGAGCCGAAGCGATTTGGAAACGTTTGGGCTTTGTCAGGAAAAATGGGTCATAACTTTCGAATGCTGACAGAGATGTTATGGAATCATGGGGACTCTGTGTTCTGATTGTGCTCAATATTGGGGGAGGGAATCTTGAGTGAATCTGTTCATTAATTCAATCCACACTGAGTGCCCACACATGCCAGGCTGGGTACAGGGGACATAAGGATGAATGAGACCAGGGTCCACGCACTCTGGGACCTTCCAGCCACAATGTCAACAACGTGTGACAGCCGCTGGGACAGCAACTGACGTGAGACAGGCAGAGCTTGAGAGAGGAAGCTGTCAGCTGTGACCGGGTAGGTGGAGAGGGCTGGGGGCCAGGTGTACGTGACGGCTGCACACAGACGCACCCCTGAGTTCTCTGCTTGGCCTTCAGAGACATCAGTTCTCTCTCGCTCTTTTTTTTTTTTTTTTGAGAAATGTGTAAAACGCTAGTTATTCTTCAAAGAGAAATAATCTTTCAATGAAGCTTCCTAAAGTGTCTATCTAAATAAAACCAGTACAATCCATAAGTGTGACAGGAAGAGTGGAAATGGTCTGAGATGATCACAGCACCCCAGCTGTTTTAAACACCCTAAAACCCTGCCCACACGCCCGGGCCCAGTTATGGCCCTAATGTACACACACACACAGACGGGTGCTTGAAATGTTCCCACCGTCATCACCTCGCAAGGTCAAGAATGTTCTCGTGGTCACTGCCTCCCAAGGGCTGAATCTCAGCTTCCTGACCACAGGGCTCAAGGTCGAGAGCTGAGCACCGCGCTCCCAGCAGGACTCAGCAGCCAGCGACCCCAAGAATCGTGGCCCTGGCGGGTGGGGGGGAGTGGGTGTCAGTCCGTGGGTGCTGAGGGACACCGACTACCACACCCGTGACAAAGGAAATGGAAATGTTAAGTGGAAGAGAAATGGAGACTCTGAATGTAAATGCAAGCTTGATAATTCCTACAACACATCTCACCCCCCACCCCGTATCCCTCCAAGAATTTAAATCCAGGCTCTGTTAGCGCTTGCTCCAAAAGGATTTAAAACCGAGAGGCAGAGTGCTTCATTTTCCTCATATAAATATTTATGAAGTGCTCATTTGCTCTTGCACTGGAAGTTATTGATCCATTTCCCTATTCAATTATAAAATCTCATCATGTACAAAGAAGCTGCTTAGAGAGAAAGTTAATGAAGAGCGCGCCTGGGATTTCGCTGGTTTCCACCTCCCTTCACGGCACCGGAGTGCTTCTGCAGGGTCACCGTCACCGCCGTGGTCTTAAATACACTGGCGTTATTCACCAGCCAGCCAAGAGCACTCTGGGAGAGAAAGAGGCACAACCGCAATGTGAAGGAGGAAATTTTAGATACTGCGTTCAGCCCGATCATTTTCCCAGCGGTTACGACTCCTCGGGCAAGGCTACGCTGGCTCGGTAAATCAGCGCTAATAAAGTACACAGCGACTATAAAAGCGGATTGTGCTACACATGGATTTTGATCATGGTTTCAGCCTTCAGAACAATCCCAGGAGTGATGCTTGTGGACAGTAACACGGCACCCATCTCTCCTCAGTTCACCGGGATTTTATCAGTCGGTGCAGTATGCACGCATCATCGCCCAGCCGGCCAGCCGGCCGCCCAGCCTTCCAGCCATCCACCCACACGTCTGGCCGCTCCTCCACCTAGTCATCCAGGACACTTGAATTATGTGTATCCTAAGTGTCAGGCGTGGTGTAAGGCAACGAAAGACCAATGGGATCAGGGAATCAAAGAAAACCATAGAGGAAGGGGAGAGCCAGAGACAGAGTCTAGGACTTCATCTGCATTTCTTATTTGCTAAACTGCAGCTTCGTTCAACTGCCTCACCTAGAAACGAGCCAGCCCTTCGTAGTCAATGACCAGCCCTTCGCTGGCAATGGAAGGAGCTGAGATCACTGGGAGACGGGGAGACGCTCCTGCCTTTATTTGCGTGGCCTGGTCAGTGACCATCGGTCTGCTACGTACACAATGTCTGTCTGTCTGTCTCTCTCTCTCTCTGACAGCAGTGGGGCATTTATAATCCCTCAGAACACATTTACAGCACGTGAGTAGGGAAACAAATCAAGGCTGAAATGCAGCTGCAATGCTGCTGGCAATGGCATGCACCCCCGAGTGACCACTGGACGGCCAGTGTGTGCAGCAGAAGCAGGCCTGACGGGCTGCCCTCTCGGCCCGCCAGCTGGCCAGCTCCCCGTGCACCCTCGCAGGGCCTGGTCCACTCCGAGGCGCCGATGCGTGCAGGAAAGCGCACGGTGCGCTCGGAACTCTGACACAGAGGGTCAGGCTCCTGTGACAGCACAGAGCTTCCCTGCAGGATCCAAGAGACAGCAGAAACCTCACAGAAGGGCCGGGCTCCGAGAGCACAGTCCACCGACCACACACCTGGCGTTTCCTTAACAAGGCCCTGGATTTGTCAACAACACGGAAATTGTCCCTCCGAGTTATTATCCTGCGCGCATTCGCTTATTCCATGAACATTTACTGAATTCCCCATCTTTTCCCGAGACCCTCCTATGGTGCTGGGGGAGGCGTACGTAGATATAAAAGAGGAAAACCTCAGATGCTGCTTTGGGAAGTTTCCAGAAGCAGTGGGGCTGCAAGATGCACCCCACACGCGGAGGAGAGGAGGGGAGCAGGGTCTGGAGGGCCAGAGGGGCTCCAAGGCCAGCGTTGATGGTGGTGGGGACGAAACCACCGCCACAGGCTGGCCGGAGGGGGGCCCCCTCGCCAGCGCCTCCCCCGTCTGAACTGCCCTCAGTCGGGTCTCTCAGGACACGGCGGGTTGAGGTCGTCTCAGGAAGAGGCCGCTCACTGCACAGCGCGTGCGCCGGGGCTGACAGGAGCCAGGGCTCCGTGTCTCCCACCGCGCCCCCTGGCTCGGCCACAGCAGCTTCACACGGGGCTGCCTGGCTTCCTGCCTGGTCGTCTCCTCGCCCTCCAGAAAAGCAACCTAGAGGTGAGGCTCGCGTTCCCGGGAAGGTGGGGTCCCCAGCAAGGCAGTTACTCCCTTTACGTTGCAACATTTATTCTACACTCAAAAATATTAAAAAATATTTATTTGAAAATCAGAGTTACAGAGAGAGAAGGAGAAACAGAGACAGAGTTTCCATCTGCTGGTTCACTCCTGAAATGGCTGCCACAGCCAAACCTAAACCAGGCCAAAGCCAGGCACCAGACTCTTCTGGGTGGCCCATGTGGGTGGCAGGGGCCAAGCATTTGGGCCATCCTCTGCTGCTTTCCCAGGCCATTTGCCGAGAGCTGGGTCGGAAGTGGAGCAGCAGGGGCACGAACTGGCACCCATATGGGATGCTGGCCTCTCAGGTGGCGGCTTAACCTACTATACCACGATGGCGGTCCCCCAATTTTAAAAAAAAAGTGTGTTTATTTGAGAGACAAAGAGAGGACGAGAAGAAGGGAGGGAGAGGGGGAGAGGGGGAGAGGGAGGGGGAGGAAAGGGGAGATATAGCCTATCTATTAGTTCATTCCCCTAATGCCTGTAACAGCTGGGGTTGGACTGAGACTGAAGCCAGGAGCCAAGAATTCAAGAATTCAAACCAGGTCTCCCACATGGGTGGCAGGAGCCCAAGCACTGGAGCCATCGCCACTGCCTCAAGGGTCTTCGTTAGCTAGGGGCCGGAGCCAGGAACCAGCGCAGGCGCTCTGACGTGGGACGCGGGTCTTAGCTGCTCGGCTACACGCCCACTCCACACTTGGACTTCTCTTCACCGCGATTTCCCGGCCTCTCCCCTGCTCCTGCACAACCGCCCCTCACACCAAGAGCAAGGACAGGGTGGGGAGGGGCTTCGTCCAGCTCGCCCCCCGCCCCCACAGGCACAGGCACTACCAGCAGCTCTCTGGAAGAGCCCACACAGCGGGCGCCCGCAGGAGCTTCCTAAATGGACGGACTGATGGAAAAAGGAATCCAGGAGAGGATGTTTTGAATTCCAAGCACAGGGATGTTAGGGCAATTTCCATGTCACTGTGGAGGAGTCTGTTAGCGAGGGCTGCGGCTAACACTCACAAACTTGGCATCGGAAATGTGTCCTTAATAAATGGCTGTGTAATACGATGATCTAGCTCGTGGAATCTGCTCCCATTATGGCTATCCTTATGTTTCTCTTGCTTCTCTTTAACAATTTCTCTATCACCGCTGGGACTCATGAGCCAAGAAGTAGAGACCAAGTGCGGACCACGAGTAGGCTCTGCGTTTCAGCCGCCTGTGACATCCACTCCACTCTCTCCTCCACGGTCCCTGTTCTTCCCCGTCCCAGGCCACAGCGACTGGCACTGAGCGCCCAGGTAAGGGTGACGCCGCAAAACCATGTCCAGGCCTTCACGTCTTTCACTCCAGCCATGCTGAGATGACGCCACACCTGTGCCTACCACGGGTGGTACTGCTGTCCCTACGTAAGGAAGGGATTTTTAACATGACACAGAGCTCATTAATGCCACCAGATTTCATGCTTAAACGCTCACTGCTATATCCGTCTCCTAACTAGGATTGATTAGACTCAGGTACCCCAGTTGTTATGATGAAATGGCAAATGGTGTTTCCTGTTCCACACAGCACTTTCTGGGCTGGAATCAGCGCTGGAGTTCAACCTCATAGCACATGGTTTTATTGAAAGCTAAGCATGTGGGCAACTTCAGAACTCAATGACCTGTCTGCTGGCCACCGCCCATCACTCGTTACTGTCGCTCGGGTCTGTGCCTTGTCCTGACAATGACACTGTGGGAAAAGCAAGCCTGGCAACACCAGTGGAGAGCCCAAGAGCCCCACCTGGACAGCTTTAGTTCAGGTCCTGACTGGCCACCTCCCTTTCCCAGTGCATCTGTAGGACAGGAACAGGAGGACAGCAGGCGGCCTCAACCCCCCAGGGCCAGGTGAGGACAAAACGACGCTCATCACCCTGCACAGGGAGAATGAGGAGGGAAGGGGAGCCTCCTCAGGGTCCTGAGACCACAGCCGGCACTGCAGGCTGCCTACGATCGGCTGTCGCACTAAATGCTCTCCACCCACCTGGCGAGAGCACGGGCTGGCTTCTCCCGCTCGCTCGCTCGCTCTGCCTGGGCCTCGCGTCCTTGCACAGTGGTTTGGCTTCGGCCATACAAAGCTGAGTGCGAGATGCTGGTGCACCTGTCCTCTAACTACAGATGTCCTACATGGCCAAGAAGAAGGAACCTTGCTGCTACTACACTGCATGAAGTTGTATTTGTTTGTTTACTCATTCATTCATTTAGTTATTTATGGGGAGGGCAGAGAGAGTGAGTGAGCGTGCAAGCCTCCGTCTGTTGGTTCGCTCCCCAAATGTCTGTGATGGCTGGGGCCAAAGCCAGGGGCCAGGAACTCAATCCAGGTCTCCCACATGGGTGCCAGGAATGCTGCTGCCTCCTAGAGTCTGCATAGGAAGCCAGAGTCAAGAGCCAGGGCTAAGAACCAAGCCCAGGTACTGCCAAGTGGGATGTAGGACTCTTCACCACTGCACAACTGCATTTTCCAAATAATTTCTATCTTTTTTTTTTCCAACAACAGTGCACAGGTAGAGGGCATGAACTTAGCACCGGCCTTTCCCTTTTCGAATGTGTTTGCCAATCAGTGCTCTGCCTGGAGTTGCAGAGAAACGACTCCGGTCGTCAGGGAAGCTGATGACACCCCTTCCTTGCCACGGTGCTTCCACTCTGCACGACTCAAGGCCCCAGAGCTCAGCGGGCATCTGCTTCTCAGAGCAGGGGGACAGTGATTTTTAAAGAATACACAATGGGGCCAGCGCCGCAGCTCACTAGGCTAATCCCGCCTTGCGGCACTGGCACACCGGGTTCTAGTCCCGGTCGGGGCGTCGGATTCTGTCCCGGTTGCCCCTCTTCCAGGCCAGCTCTCTGCTGTGGCCAGGGAGTGCAGTGGAGGATGGCCCAAGTGCTTGGGCCCTGCATCCCATGGGAGACCAGGAGAAGTACCTGGCTCCTGCCATCTGATCAGCGTGGTGCGGTGGCTGCAGCATGCCGGCCGCGGCGGCCATTGGAGGGTGAACCAACAGCAAAGGAAGACCTTTCTCTCTGTCTCTCTCTCTCTATCCTCTCTGCCTGTCAGAAAAAAAAATACACAATGGGGCCACGTGTGCACTGCTATATGCTGAACATGGAGTTCCAGGAGAGATTAGAGCAAAAAGCTTCTATTTAGCCAGCGTGGGACAAACAGGAGCGCATTCAGGGGGCAGCATCGGGAGGGGGGCAGGCCTAGGAATGCCATCGCAATGAGAGCTCTTAGTGAGAGAGAGGTGCCGTGGGGGGGGGGTGGCAGCAGCACCGCCTGGTCAGGTCCACGTGAGCCGCCGCTCACTGGGTCAGCACCATCCCTGAGAGCAAGACCCCGGCCCTGGTATGAGTGAGGCCTTGAGGGGGCCCCGGTGGCCATCGCTGTCCCTTGTCATTCTGAAGTGCGTGACATTTTGTTCTGATGCTCTCTGACCAGCGGCAGCTGCCACTGGAGTTCCTCATCTCCATCTGCAATACCAAGCACCAGGCCCAGGAGGTAGAGAGAGGGAGAGGCGCGCTGGGGCTCTGCATCCCAGGACCTCTGCGAGAAGGGCTGTGGTTGGTGCTTGCTCCGCCTGCACTGGGAAACCCAAAGCTGTCACCTGCTTTGGTGTCTGTCTTCCAGCTGGACTGCACAAAGTGCTCGGCCACAGGTTCCTTGTGCCCCGGTCCCCTGGGGGTGGCAAGAGTCTATGAACATTCTAAGCAAGCGCCTCCTGCAAGGGCAGAGTTTAGGCGGGAAGGAGGAGCAAGCAGGAGCCGCTCTGTGAGCCGTGCACGTGCGCGGGGGACACGAGTCTTCAGGGGAGGGGGTTTACTCCCCAGGAACCATCACCATGACGGACGGTTGCAGTGGGGGAGCGCCACCGCCCTGGGAGAAGGGAGTGTGGGTGGAAATGGCCCCACGGGGGCGGGAATAGCTCAGAGTCTGGGACCAGCAGGCAACAGGAAGGGGTGGGGGCTGTGGGGCCCTGGCAGGAAGCCGGTGGTGGGAGCAGGCAGAGCCGGCACAGCAGGAGGCGCAGGGCGGGCCGGAAGACGCTCGGAAGTCTGTTCTAAGTGGACTGACGTTGCTTCCCTCTAGCTCTGCCCTGGGAAGCAGGTGCTACCATTTTCTCTTATCAGTGGGGAAACTGAGGCACCCAAGACTACAGAGCCTCCAGGTGTGAGGAGATCAGCCCCAACTGTGGATTCCGAACGGCACTGGCAACCCTGACCCTGGCTGCCGCCGCCTCGCCCTGTCTCGGGGCGCCTTCCTGCCCCGTTTCCAAGCTGCTTAGATGGATGGCAGAGTAGCTGCTTCCTCTCGTGGTAACGTTTAGGTGCTGCCGATGGGCAGACATCTCCGCGTGGGTAGGCCTTTTCCATTCCTCCTCAAGACACAGATGTAAGAAAGGACAGAGTCCTCTGAGGAATCGTCCACTTTGGAGAGACTGTCCCTCGTGATGGCTATTCGTTCTCATTCCTGCTCTTTTCTAAGCTCTCCCCAACTGTGAAGGAAATGAAAAAAGAAATAAATTCGATGCAGCAAATAAGATACCAAATGCCACTGTGCTGCCGGGGGCTGTTCCCTAGGTGACTACAAGCTTCCCTCCAGCTCCCCCTCAACGCCAAGGACACGGCGTGCTGGCACGCCGGTGCTGGGGTGCTGGGTGCTCGGCACCTGCAGGCAGAAGGCTCAGGCTGGGGTCACCGCAGGGTGGGAGCCCGGGGCAGGTGCCTGTGCCTGTTGCCTCTGGAGACAACACCGTTCCCGCCCCTTGAGGATGGCGTCCGAGCAACTCAACCCTGCACTCCAAGGAGACCAGCCAAGGAAAGAGGTGGAGCTGTGTGGCAGACACGGACAAGGACCCCGGGGGAACAAGCCAGAGTGTCGTGGGGAAGACAAATATCAGGGTTCCCAAAGGGATGTGACACAGAAACAAGGGTTTGCATCCGCCCGTCTCCCTGAATGCCAGGGGCCAAACCTCTGCTTTGTAACTCAGCAGAAGGGAGTCCTGCTTCGAGGGCACCCTGTCCGTCAGCACTCGATCATACGACTTCGGGAGTGGGTTATGGGAGTTTTCTATGTGGTCTATTTTGTTTGTTTTAATGTTCACTTGTTTTTATTTATTTGAAAGGCAGAGAGAGAGAGAGAGGTCATTCATCTGCTGGCTGGCTCCCCAAACGCCCGTGAACAGCTAGGGCTGGGTCAGGCCAAATCCAGAAGCCAGGAGCACCATTCAGTCCCCTACAGGATGGCAGGGACTCAGCACTTGCTGTCTCCCGGAGCAGCGGGAGGCCAGATGCGTAGGCAGAGGTGGGACTCAATCCAGCTGCCCAATGGGCAGCGGAAGCTGCTGTTGCCACCGCCACCTGCCCCTGGTTACGGGATATGTGCAAGATCAGATTCAAGCAAGGAAGCCAGTGGCATTTCAGCAAATACGCTGGAGGCCACTTTAGCATGTGAGTGGTCCTTCTCAAAGGCCCTTATCTCGGGTGGCCTAGAGCCGTCGGTCTCTACCACGAAATTCCACAGGAGGCAGAAACACTCAAAATGTATGCAGTGGACACAACCAAGTAACGGTTCCAGGAGACAAAGTCTGGAATCGACGGCATTGCAGGATCAATCTATTTGATTCCTGCCACAGATTAAATCCATTAGAGAAAGACCCTGGTGGATTAATTTATCCTGCAGAATAAAACGACACCAAAGAAAACTCATCCGTGAAACCCAGAGAAGGGGTGGCTTCTCCCAAAGGACAAAGCAAGGAGAGTGGCATCGACGCCTGCTTTTACGCACGTGAGAAACCGAGGTGCAGGGGGTGATTTGGAAAAAGGGGGCACTGCTGTTGTCCAGCCCGAGAGATTTGGGAATCGGTGCGCCTCTTCAGTCACCACTCTCGGTGCTCATCAGGAGAGGGTGGTGAACAAAGCAGTCTGTAAGATGATGTGCAGATGGGAGCAGCGTCGGCTCCAAGCCAGGAGTGACCCAGTTTCAGCCGCTCGATGGCTCCTGCTCCCTGGCAGCCATCACAGACACCTAATGCAAAGGTCACGCACTCGGAGGAGAACGCATTCTGGAAGCTGTCAGCCCGTCTGGGTGGAGATCCGGGAGGAGCTTGCAGAGACCATCAAAGGCCAGGCGGGGGTGGGGTGGGGGCGTGCACCTTGCCATTAGCAGGAAGCAGACTCTGGAACTTTGATGGAGCCAGTGACAGATAAAACACGTGACACAAATTCATTCTCGGAGACCTCCAATGTCAACCGAAATCGCTTTTACTCTGTTACTTAAATGCATGCAGGCATAAAATGAGCATACGCCTGCAAGCTTATAGCACTGAGCCCATCAAAGCAAACATCCAAATGAAACGCAAAGTAAACCACAAAGCCAAGACCACTCGACTGACCACACTCATTCAGCCCACTGGGTCAGACCACTCTGATGAGTTTCAGAGTCCCAGCACGGAACCCGGGCTTCACCTCCAACGTCTGTTTGACTTTCAGATGAACACCCTGCACGGCACGCCTGCTGGCCTCCTGAAGCCACACACAACAGCGTGCACGTCCTCAGAGCTTTATCTGTCTGATGGCCCGTGTCCCCAGGATTGTGCCAGCCAGCTGGCCTTCCATGCCCATGGCAATGAGGTGGGATTTGCTAACCTTGTGGTTTGACGCTGAGGCAGCACGCGACACGGAAGAGCTGTGTCGGTCACGCAGCAGTCCCAAGTGCTGCTCTCACACACACGAGGAACGTGAGAAAGTTGAACTCACAGGAGTAGAGAGGAGGGGGCAGTTTACGAAGGACTGGAGGTGGCGGTGGCCAGGGGTGGGGAGAGTAGGGGGGTGGCGGCGTGGGGGACATTGGTAAAAGGATGCAAATGCCAGTCAGTAGGGGGACCCCATTCAAATCACCTATTTTTAAGACACGGTGACTCTAGTTGACAATAAGGTATTGCATTCTTGCAAACCGCTCAGCGAGTAGATTAAGAGTTCTCATCACAAAAATGAATGAAATGATGTGTGTATGGGAATCTACTCACTGAGCTGTCCCACAATGTGTACATGTTTCAAAACACATGCATGACACATGCATGCAGCTGTTATGTCAATTAACATACATTTTTAGAGATATGCATGAATTGTGTAACAGTCTTAAGCAGTGCTGATTCCTGCAGAACATTACTTAATTTTCTGTTTGTTGCTCTATTTACAGACAAACTCTTGAAAGCAGATATCTCAAGGTGAGAGTCCATGAAGCTGCTAAAAAAACCGATGTAAATCCTGGAGAAAAGATAAAAATGTCACTAGGAATGACTTCAAAGTCAGACCAGAGTGGCCTCTACAGAGTCTGCCAGGGTTCAGGGCACTGAGTGGGGCGGGGGTCAGCAAGCTGACCCCCGGGGCCCGGCTTCTCCCTCTCACTTTTCCGTAAGTTGCGTGCTGTCTATGCCAGACTGTGCCACGGCGGTGGAACTGGGAATCGTGGCGGGGCTGTGAGGCCTGCAGACCCCAAAACGGTTAATACTGGCCCCTCGGCAGCGATACGGCCGGACCCGACGTGGAGGACATGCCACGTGGCTTGATTTACTATTTGCTACTGATCGGGG